GGTCCAGGGTTTCCTGTTGACTACCTCCAACCACCATCTTATCTCGACTCTCTTCTGTGCCTAGACTCCCGACCTGAGTATCCAAGTCTCCGGCTAGTACTACAATATCTGTCCAACGCACTTTTTGTAGAAGAACTGTTAATCGGTAATAAAACTCATCCTTGATCGCATCCGGGCTGCAATCTGTCGTAGCATAGGTGGAGATGATGAAAAGACATCTCTCACACTGATTTCTTCTTACTTTGATGGAACTTTCTAATCTAACAACACATAACCGACTGTTAATGGGGATCCAATCGATTAGTGCTGCCCAATCTCTAGCGCTTAGTGCGACAGCAACACCAGCAAAACTAGACGAAGATGCTACAGGGTCCTCGGATAAACTCACATAAAACAAGCTTTTTGAAGCGATAGATGGAGAACGGATTTGTAGTACTTCACTAGAATCTTGAATACGGGTATCGGATAGACAACAGACGTCGATATTAAGACTTTCTAAAGACAGTCAACCCTATCTGTTGTTCAGTCTGCATTAGTGCGCGGACGTTGAAGGAAGCCAGTTTGAATGGTGCACGTGGTTTCAGAAAAACTGCTTCAGTATTCGTATTTGGTGGTAGCATGCAATATTCAACCGGGCAGTGACTCGAGAACGTTTAGATAGAACCGAGTTTCCACCATAGGAGAGCTGCTGTATAAGTTGAAAAATAAAGATACTCAAAGTGGGAATAAAAGAGAGTGTGTAAGTGACTCAGTATATAAAAAATAAAAATGAATGTTGTCAAATGGATATGAGTTGTCTGAATTTTAATTGGAAAAAGAACAGTACTTCTAGTAAATATTGTCATTTCATTTGCGTGTGGGCTGTGATACTGCCCAGGCGCCCAAACCGAAGCAGGTGGATTTCTTAGGGGGCCAAACCCGGACCCTTTGACCTAAAGGTTTAATCCACAAGGCTGTGGAGCAACTACTACACATTTAAATCTAAAAAATCACTGAGTTCATCGTAATTCTTATTAAGCCAAGGGTATTGATTTAATAATGGCTTATATCCGATTATGCTACTTAACGCATATGTGAAAGACTATGTATGATTCATGAGCTAAGATTCAACCGTGTGTCTATAAAATAAGAACCATCAAAAAGTGAGAATGTATGCAGCTCGCTTTGTTTCTACAATAAATTTTGGCAACGAAATGTTCACAAAAGGAATGCACATTTTTAAAGAAAGCTTAACTACCACAGGTCCTTTAAAATCTGACTGGAATCTGGTATTCATAAAAACGTGATTATTCGATGCAATTACATTTCCATATAGGCGTTCCTCTACTGCTTACGGGATGCAGTCAAAGAATAAGAGGAATAGATTATTTAATTTGTGGGGTGAATTTTTCATACCAATGTTTAATGCTGTTTGAGCTTAGTCTACTACGGTTCTTGCTATTATTTTTAACGTTATACGTAAAAGTTATGCGTGTACAAGTAAGAAGAGCATCTGATGTCAATGATCACAAGTGTGCCATAGTCTGTACTGTGGTACATAGCAAGTGAATTGCGATAGTAAAAGACCGAATATGGTTGATAGGGTGTTGTACAGATAGCTGTACTTTTAGTACTTTACATACTTATTTCTCCTTCCATGCTGTGGGGAGCTGGAAAGTGACAACCACCCTCATACCTATATTAGCACTAGAATTTCTGTTGTTTACTGTCAGAACCTTTGATATTCATTATACTCTCATCACCGATCCTTCTCCTACGACTTTATCTTTATTGACCACCAATGCTAAATATTCGGGTCCACGAGATGTTATTACTGGTTTCTTGAAACCGAGTTCTAAATTACTTATTGAAGCTCTCAGCATTTGGATCAAATAAGCCAACAGGATTCCTTAGCTAGGACTCCAGAATCCTGTGCTATTGATGTATAATGCATCTCCGAAACACATGCAGGATCCAAGTGTGGTCATTTACTTGACCTGACCCAGTCAATACAGAGAACCTGCACGATTTATGCTCCGTGTATCTGGAGACTTGACTGACATATTTTGTGGCCCCACTGGCGCAGGTAAAGCACGAAGTCGAAAAGCGGGACGGGCTCTGAAACGATTCAGACAAACAATCGCTTGCTCGCTGCCCGACTAAATAGGAAGGTAAGAACACAGAGAGATAAAGAGACAACCCATCGCCTTCACATCACAGGGTACGCTTCCGCCGACTGCAAGTCGAATGAGTTTCTTAGGAAACTTTCTGCTCTCTTAAAAGTCAAACAATCGAATGTAGTAGTCTACACAGGCAGTTCAAACGAAAGTAGAAAACACTTTGGTTGGTCTTACATGGTTCCAGCCCAACGGATAGGCAGCGGCGACCACGCACTACAAATATGCTCAGACGACCGTTAATTCTCAACAAGTACCAACTTTAAGCATAGAGCCATTGTCTGACATGACGACCCCTCTAATATTGACGCAAATAGATAACGACGCCACCTGCCATCGTTGAAGAAGCTCAGTGGAAAACTGCTGCTCATTCTAGACTATGATTATGCTTTAGTATGTGTTTGTTTGTGTCGTACCTGGCAAATAGAAGCTACAACAAGGAAGCTCCTTACAGTTCAACTTAATGACGAAAATGTCAAGAAGAGGGTGCTATTATTAACTATCAATCCAGGATACTGGGACGATGGATAGAATAGTGTGAAAGCAGTTCAGTTGCTTTCCAGCTATCCTTCGATTGCCTACTCCCACCGAAGCAACCTGAATGTCATGCCGATATAACCATCCTTCTTTGTGATCGTCCCACTTTATTAGATATGACAAAAGCCCTTTTGTGACAACCACAGAGGAACCAGTTTAAATAATATGATTTCTAGAACACTACCTAGATAATCGTATTTTTCTACTATAAGGCAGCATTTCGTCCTGCAGATCAACAGGTTTTTTTTTGAAGTATCCGCCATTAAAAGGCATACCAAGGACGCACATTAACCTTGTACAGGCTCTCTACTCCAAATACATCGAGGGTGAATCACGCTCTCAGAGACTGAATGACATGGCTTAGAAACGTTCGCAAAGACACAGGTTCATTCACTCTGTCTTCCTTTAAATACTAAGTTTCTAAATTCCTCATAAATTTCTTTCTATCATTTCACTAATTTGTACTTCTCGAATTGTGTCTTGGATGCTCAACCTTTCCTATTGCCATTGATGCTGTTACTACCTCTACTACTCTGGGATTCGCCTTGACAATTTCGTCACCCTGTGTTAGTGTGGTATGGCAGCTTGATTCGACGTACACGTGTGCCAGGTTCTACGTTGCATTTGACTGATTATCTACCATAAGACTCGTTTGTTAATTACTCTGGATCAAATCGCTTAGATACGTTGTTGTTAAACACTAATTTATGATTTTATTATAGTGGCCGGATACTACTTCAAACAACACCCGCTCACTTGGTTAGCCCCTTAGATAAAGCGCTTCGAGAAGCCTCTACAGTTGATGGTGTTCTTGAGCTGCAAAATGAGCACATATGGTCGATTGGATACAAGGACCTTGCAGGAAGTTTGTATGTTCGTGTTCGCCGGGATGCTAATGAGCAGTTGGTTCTAGCACACGTAACCAACCGTCTTTCCAGCTTGGTGAAATATTTAACAATACAGGTGTGTGGTTTTTTCTGATTAAATATAAAATGCTTTCATCTGTGTCAGTAAAAATTAGGTTTCAACTTGAATTCACTCAAATCCATCTGGGTAGCTAGAATATTACCTACCATAGTCACATAACATGTACAATGCGAATCCTAATATTTATTCTATTTATTTAAACGCATAAACATTGGTACAAGAGGGCACCAAATATATGTGCGCAACACAAATCATTCAATTCGTGTGGGGGGCACTCCCCGAGCATTTGACCTGAAGGTTTAATCCACGAGGCAGTAGGGCAACGTAGGGAGATGCAGTTTTATGGTAGCCGGTCACCAACAATAGGTTCATACACCTTTTGTTCCATCAGGATACTGGAGCCTATGTGCACCATTGGAATCAGGGTTTTCCAACTCCTCTAGGTGGACTCTCCGTATCCACCAACCCAGTTAAAGCATCTGACATTCGCTTTTCGTCCTCTCAATTTCATAAGCAACAGTAATTCTGCGAGAATGCAGTGAGTAGAACTTCCCTGGCAGTTGTCGTGTGGACGTGGCCATGTGAGAGCATTTCGAGATGGAGAGCTGACTTTCTCCACTCTTGGCTGTACTAGGGCATTTGGAGGCGAATCCTAATAAATCAAGTTGAGATGAGTTACTAAGCTTCACACGGGCTAACAGTCTTTGTAGTCATATCTCAATATTGTCTGGAACGTCCCTCATATACACTGATGTATGTTCCTAAAGCTTTCCATGTTAGGTAGTGTTAGTCGGTGTTTATGATCCTCATAAGTAAACGAGTTATTTGGAAAAGTCTCAATTATGAAATTATCATCTAGCTCTTCAATAAACAAATTCAGACCATGTATCCGTCCATGTAGCTATATTTCATTAACCGTATGACATTGAATAACTCGTAAAAGTATGTTCAGCAGAAAATAAGACTAACCAGTTAATCAAAGTTATGGATTAATAACAACAGGCAGTTATTTAGAAAATGGAACAATATATGTAATTTAAGAAAATGCATCTCAGTTATTTAGTATTAAAACAAGGAAGTTTTCTGCAATTTTAGGTTTATAAAGATGACTGGACGCGAGCAACAAACTCGTTTATCATGAATTGGTCACCCGCGAACAACGCACTGTATAATCAGAACATTCCTGGTACACAAGTTAGACCTGATCTAAAGCATAATCTACCGTCATCTTTACCTGCATCAGCCTCACATCACAAAACACAGGAAGACAGTTATCAGGAACCTCAAGTTAATCCTAATCATTATATCTTTGCGTAAACGTTTATCTCGTAACAGTTAGTTGATTGGAGCAAATGATCTCTTTTACACAAATTAACACGGTTGAGTATTTCACTTTTATTGTTGTATTAACATCTTGAAAAATATTTTCAAAAAATTATAAAAAGAGCAGCGTATTTCAAAGTCATTATCTGGTAACTTGGATTAGTTTTAATTTCGTTTGATCAAACTTCCAACGGGAGGAACAGATAACTTAACAGATTCTGAGGAGGATGTATCATGGGGTTGAACGTTGGTAGGAATACCTGTGTCCCATTTACTTGGTTTTTTTGGTTCTGTAAAATAAAAGTATGATAATTTGAATCAAGAATACAAAGTTACATGAAAAGGATTCTGAGTTTTGAGTTATTAGCAATATCGACCTGTCACTGTAATCATGTGGCTAGTAGACTTTATAACGCTCAACTTACACTTTCGAAGAACTGTGTTTATTGATTACGATCGTAATTACAAAAGCGATGAATAGGTTATGTGGTTTTTGGAAAGTATGGTTTTCTAGGTTTTTAAAAATAAAGGAAAAGGATTGTCTTTTGACTAACAAAATTTAGATTTTTGATCGACATGCTTATTTTTAAAACGTTGTGTCTATTTTTTGTCCTTCAAGTAATTATGGCTTTGCTATAATTCTACAAAAAAAGGTTAAGTCATATGTTCCTAGTCTATGGATTATTAAAATTGTATGAAATGTTACTGATGTTACAATCGTAGCTACATTTTAATCCTTTGATCTGAATCGAAATCGTTCGAAGTTGAGAGTAACTGGTGTGAAATTTACATTCAGCGTTCGCTTTATCAATGATACCAGTAGTTAACAGTCTATTGAAAAATCTTACATTTCATTTTGTGTTGGTACTTGCTTCTTCAATAATAGTAAGTCAATTCGCTATCTTCACTAATCCTATGTAGTTTTATTCAGTGGATTTATAAAGGTTATTTCACGAGTCTTCCCACTCTTCTACACCGAAATATATTTGATGGATCTGTAATTGTTAAAACATATCAGTTTACAATGATTGAAAAGACCGTTCTTCGAAATACAGTTAGAGCAAGAACGTCAAAGATTGGTGGAAATGAAATCGGCAATTTCTAAGACGCATAGTGGAAACACTAGCGGTAAACGAGTGTAAGGTTCCCTTCTAAATAGTCTATTCCTAAATCTATATAAACAATGAAAAGGTGTTTACTGCTAGACAAGATTTACAACACAAAGAATGGAAATGTTTATTAACTACATTGTAGAAAGCATTATTTAGGTACAACCTATTACTTTGTATATAATGAATGTTTCCTTCGGGGGTTTGGAAGTGCATGTGAAGTATAATTCACGCCTAACTTACATATCTCCAGGCGTTCATTGAGTACTGGTTTTGTACTCAATTGATGACACAATATAACATACTAAACTGACCATTCTATATAACATCCTAGAAATCATATACGAGACTATGTAACAGGTTATCTTAAAAACAGACAAAATTACTTTGAAAATGTAGTAGGTTAGTATAATTTCAATCTCAACTGTTAGAGTGCTAGATTTGTTATTTCCGCCCTTTATTTTTAGACCCTATATTCAGGATTTGTTGATAAGGCAAAAGTGAGCACGAAGCAGATTCTTTTACGAATAACATTTATAAAGTGATTTACTCATTCGGGGACATCACCACCTACTATAATTAGCAATGAATCAAATCTTTTATATATGAGAAAAAATGTTCTTTTTACATTTACTTACGATTCATGTGTGTTATGACACTGTCATATCTACACTTTCTTCAGCACGTTTTTTAAGGGAGAAATAGATATAGTTCAGAAAAATACATTAGCTAACCTATGTACCCCGTAGAAACGGACCCTCCAGATGTAGTAATGGATTTGTCTGTGCTAGTAATTGGATTTTTAGGTGCATTCGCACTTGTGCTGTTGTTTGCATTCGTTGTATTTGGGTCAGATTTTTTAAGTTCTTTTTGCATTTTCATCAGTCGGTCGATTTCACGATTTTGCACCTTTGCAAGTTCTTCATAATATGACTGCGGAGTCCAACGATAGGGATCGTATATATCCTGGTCAAAGTATGAGTCATAAAGTACTTATGATGTATTACGTACAATCAGTCTTCATAAAGTTTCACATAAATGTTTTTACATACAAAGAGTGAATAGTATAAAATAAGCTTGATAGACTCAGCTACATTGGTTACCAAACAAAGACTTAGCTTTATGTTTTACCCATAAAATAACATAGGAATCCACATAAGATGCTATTACAATACCACATCAAGCATTGGAAATAACACAATCTGTTTGTATATTCTATCAAAATGAATACTTATCAGTTTGATGGTATTCCAGTGGTTAGGGCGTTCGACTTTCACCCACAGCCGAAGGCTCAAACCTCAATCTCCTTACTTGAGTTTGGGCGATCAATTAGTATTAACAGCCCTCACACCTATGTTAATGTGGTAAGTCAGTGAATAAAGCTATGCACTATCATTGATTTTAACTGTACGTACGTAACGCGTCGTAGCCAACCCCTATACTAGTACGATATGTTGGCAAGACAATAAGTAGATTGGAATCAGAGGGATTATACTAAGATACGAGACCAGTTTATTAATTCATTAGATATTGATCTGAACCGCGTAGAGGAGATACGCACTTCCTATCTGAAATATACAAGCAAATTGTAATTTATGGCTCAAAATCAGTTGCGGTTACGCGAATGTGTGAGTGGATAATATGAAAAACATTACTATACTAATCTGTGTCTCACTAAAACCCAGAACTACCGTACAGAGATCTTCACACTATTTTAAACATATCAATATTTTATGCCGTTTTTAGGGCATTTATACTTGTTAAACACATAGTTAACACATAAAATGGCCTCTTCTTTACACCTTAATATCAATATAATTTACTAAGCACACGAACACTAGATTAGTATCTATGAATTACATGATATTAGGCATTTGTAACAATAGACTTACTGTAGAGAAGTTAGTTCCTTTCTCGTCAATTTTCAAAAAATCGATCAGCTTTTCATAAATACTAAAATAAAACTGAGTTTATGTTTGTCCACACGCTTACACACCTGGGATTACGGAACGCTTTGTTATCTTGAATTGCTCTGTTAGGATCGTAGCTTATATCCAAGCGCATACGACGCACTGCTCGCTCTACTCTTTCTTGAAGCACCATTGAACAGTGACCAGTAGGTTCAGAGGGCAATTGAACCGCTTGAATAAGGCGTTCTGTAAGGGTAGGACTTTCTGCTTTCGCTTCAATAGTGATTAAGTTTGGATTTTTTACATCATTTACTGGTTCTGAAATATGAACTTGGTTTTGGGACAAGATGTTGATAGGCTGGTCAGAACTGAAAATAGTTGGGGGTCCACCCGAATTATCCAACGGAATATCCATACTACCAAGATGGAATCCATGATCATCTTTTGATTTAGGATCATTTTCACCATCAGAATCAGTGTTCTGATCTGTATCTAACACCGTATGCTCATCATCATCTTCGTCGATGGCATAGGAAACTAAACCCGAAGGAACTATTGAGTAAAAGGAAAAAAAGGAAATGAACTGCATTATACACTTACTTGCTAATCTAGCTTTCTTTGTTGGTACTGATGAGTTATTTGTATCGTTTTCCGCATGTTTATTATCACTTCTTAACGGTTGTACTACTTGCTGACGGTTATCGGAAAAAATGGGTGAGCGCGCTATAATTTATATGAAATCAGTTCAAGAACCATGAAAAGACACTTACAGGTATCTGATAAGACAGCTGGTGTCCGAATACGCTCATCCTCCGAAGTGTATATTGCTGGGATTTGCTCATCTATGGTTTGTTCATATTCTCCTGAAATCCGACATAAAATTAGATTGAGGTAAATGTGGTAAATCTGATAATTGTTGGCAGCGGCGAGATATAATAGACGACAATAACTAAGCCTAAACTAATAATATCCATTACCATTATAAGCGAAATCTATAGACAAAACAACAGGCGGACATCACAAAGCAAATAACGAACGTGAGGAAGTTTTTTAATATGAAAGAAATAACTAGGTTTACATAAAAATATTCAATTTCGCTATATATTTTGGGTAAATAGTTTAATCATATAGAAGATATCAACTTTGGAAGAAAAAACAATTGGTAAGACAGACAATGAACAACAGCGTATTTAATAGTAAACTAAATGTGATGAAGTTTTTCTTATGATATGAAACCCATTACCTGATTCGTTAAACAGACCTCCGTTTATATCCATATGATCTAAAATAGTAAACAATAAATCCAATGAGATTTCAAATTAGTGTAAAAGTACTGTGTTAAATCGCTTCAAAGAGTCTACCCAATTGAAAACAAATATATAGAGATTAAATAATCTACTGATAAGTTTAAAATTTTAGTAGCTTTTTTATTGAGTTACATATTTGGTGATTAAGTAGAAATCCATTATTTACGCAACAATGTGGTTATAAACAATCTTATAGATCTATACACTCATTTAACACCGCCTGCAGTTCTTTTAAGGTCACTGTCGGTCCCAAACTCGGGTAAAGGAGGGTTGAGAATGGGGTCAGCAACCCCATCCCGCAGAAAACTTTGCTGAAAAAAGTCTAAACCATTTAAACTCTGCCCTCCTAGTTGAATGATTGTCATTCAGAAGAATAATGGGGCCTTATAATGAAAACCGAGATTCTTCAGAAGTCACGAGGCCGATGCTCCTTCTGACAACCAGAGCAAAAATTAATATAGGCACATGGAATGTCCCGGCAGTGTGGGAGGATCAACCAAATAGCTGCAGAAATGAGGAGACACAACTTAGCGGTGCTCGGAATAAGCGAAACAGAAAAGATTGAATTCAGGAGAGATGCTGCTGTACTACGGTCACGAGAAGGAAAGTGCTTTCCACACACAGGGAGTTGCCCTGATGCCCTTTAAAGAAGCACGAAATGCATTTATACGATGGGAATCTAATGAGTCCAGAATCACTATAGCACCCATCAGAACAATGAAGGCAATCACAAGAAATGTTGTGCACCCACCAATGATAGCAACGATAAAGATCAGTTCTATGAGAGGTTGCAATCAATCATAGTGAAGTACCCAAGAAAGGATCTCGCCATCCTAATGAGAGACCTAAATGCCAAAGTCGGAATGGACAACACCAGCCAGTCAGCTACAACGTAGGACCAGGCACATATATGCATCGGTCCAGGTTGCCATACCGCATTAGCACAGCAAGATGAACACCGGATTCATAGGAGTGGTTATGTCAAAGGTGGTAATATATCGGGGAAAGATTGCATATAAGGGTATAGTATAGGGAGAAAGAATTAGTTAGTAGAAAGAAAGATATGAAGTGATTTTAATCTCTTAGTTTAAGGGAAGACAGGGAGTGTATACACCTACGCCATTGTGGTCGATTCTGAGCCATGCCACCAAGAGTCTCCAACCATTGGTTACGAAAGTCACGCGGACCCCAACCAAGTAGTCTGCACCTACCAAAATGACTCAGACTAGAAGTTAGTGACTTCAAGCACTGACGCCACGTTTTGGTTTGGCCGCCCCTAACTTTCTTCCAACTATCTCCAACACCGGTTAGCATTGCACGTCGTGGTAATCGGTGTTCAGGCATACGTAACACGTGGCCCAACCATCTCAGTCGATGAAGATTCACAACCTCATCAACTGATTTACCATCATTCCCTAATACCCTACGTCTAACCTCACGATTACTTACCCGGTGATCCCAGCAGACGCCAGCAATATTTCTAAGGCATCTGTAACCAAATACTAGTAGCTTACGAGTGTCTTCTACTCTTAATGGCCATGTTTCGCTGCCGTAAATTAAAACAGAACGGACTGTCGCGCAGTATACACGTCCTTTTATTGATAGACGGATATCTCGCCTTCGCTATAGGTGACGTAAGTTGGCAAAAGCCAAACGAGCTTTTCAAATCCGTGCTGAGATTTCGTCCAACACCAACCCATTGGGGCTGATCAGACTTCCAAGATAAGTGAAGTTGTCAACGCGTTCGACTACTTCACTCCCTATCCTTAGTTCAGGTAAGTCACTCATCATCAACGTAGAACATCGTACGTACGTACATCAGTTCGAGTTGCCATACCACATTAGCACAGAGATACAATTGTCGATTTAAATTCCATAGTGGTAGAAGTAGTAAGTATATAGGCAGTAATCGGAAAGATTAGTGCTTGAAGATATTATTCAAGGGGTATAATCCAGTGAAATAAATTTGGAAAGAGAAAAAAAAGGATATGAAGAATTCAGAAGATTAGAATTTGGGAGAACACAAAGAGAGGATGCATCTGCGCCATTGCAAACGATGTTGAGCCATTTCATTCAGGTTCTCTAACCATCGGTTGCTATCATCTCGCGGTCCCCAACCAGGTAGTTTACACCTACCAACATGACTCAGTCCACTTGTCAGTGACTTCATGGACTTGTGCCATGTTTTGGTCTGGCCGCCCCTATCTTTCTTTCAACCTACTCCTATACCACTGAACATCGCACGTCGAGGCAGTCGGTAGTTGGGCATACGTAACACATGTCCCAGCCATCTCAACTGATGACGTTTCACTAATTCATCAATTGATTTGCCATCCTTACCTAATATTCGTTCCATAACAACTGCATTACTTACTCTGTGGTCCCAGGATATACGAGCAATGCTTTGAAGACAGTATAGCTCGGCTATTTCATCAAAATAGGCAAGCCCGATCACTACGTCAAGGTAGCAACGACGGTTGATTACATCGATATTTAACTTTCATTATTGCAGTAAGCAATGACTGAAAATACGTAACAACTACAGCGAAAACCACGTCCAAGTCATTGCTATTTACTTTGTGAATGAATACGTACTGGCCCAAGAGAACATGAAACATTATTTTACACTCAAAAATCAAGTACGGGTTTAGGTGCTCACTTTTCAACAATGACAATTTGTACAACACTGTCGAACGTGAAGTTTGAAAAATTGTGTTTGAATGTAGTGAGTTATGTAAAGGTATTTTCCCTGACTTGTGTATCGCAAATAACAGATTAATTTAACTAGTCAATTATAACCATCACTAACAAAGGCTGTCAATAATACTCAGCTGAACATTGCCATGTGCACAATTACAGGACAAAAAATGAAACCACGACAACCCTGTTTGTTAGTGGTGAAGGCCCGTAGAATTTTTAATGAAACTGACGAACCCCTGTTAGTGTATATACCCGTCCCTATCTCTCTATTTCGGGGTTTTCCTCAGAACTGGGGAAATTTCGGGGTTTCTGTGCCATTTCCCCGGAACAGACAAATCCTCCCCCAAAATAGAGAGATTGGGTTCAGGCACTATTGTAATTTTATAAACTTAATCAGTTGGAGAGACACAACTACGGTCTTTGGGTTTCTTAACCTCTTTACGGTCTATGATATGCCAGATTTTAAGAAACCACTGTTATAAAAATTACAGAACCCAATATTAGTTCCTCAGATGCATGTATATCTAATCTCTCGACTTTGCACGTATACATTTATACATCCATATGCATGCATGCATACATATACATATATTCCAAATGCATTTGGGATATGGTGTTGTGTTGGTGTGTATTGTATAATCAAGCAGCCATCAAACAACTAGGCAGAGTAAAGACTCTCCACACATGATATGCAGTTACATTGCTTTGTCTACGACACAAGATGAAATAATAGAACAGATACCGAAGTGAGCACTTACCGTAACCTTGAACAGACCAACGCGCGTTAGCTAAATGGGTCAGTCATCGGTAATAAGAATAGTAGGTTGGTGAACCTGTGGTAATCCTGACAGTTTGCGTTCCAGTGAAGTTCTGGCTTCTCCTTGAAAATATTCACTGATGGGTCTGATACCATTTGTCCGGGTAAGGCGTTTCAGTCATTGACCACTCGATGAGAAAAACGGAACCCCACATTAAGTTTATTAGATCGCGGTTTATGAACCTTCTAGCTATTCGAAACATTTCCTCGTCAAAGCATTTGAATGCTCGGTGAAGTGACCACAACACACGAAAACCTATGACAGCAGCTGCATTGCAATGAGTAGCTGTTTTCAAGTCACGACTTATTATTACTCCTAAGCCTTTATGTTCTTGAACGCATGGAGGAGATTTGCCATCAGTAGTATAATGGTAACTACTACCGCGACCGATATGCATTAACACACTCTTCTTGTAGTTGATTTCTAAGTTCAAACCTCGAGCCCATCTAACTAATTCGTCTAAGTCAGCTTGGAGATCCAAATGATCAGCCTCACTTTTTACTGCTCCTCGAATTTCGACACCATCCAAAAACAGTGATGTTGATGACTTAATCAATGGCGGTAACTAATTAATGTAGAGAAGGGAAGATAGACCTAATATTTTGCCTTGGGGTACACCACTTTTGACCGGCTTCCATTCGGATAGCGTTCCATTGATCCTCACTCTCCGTATGCAGTCACGTGAGAAGTTTCCTATCCATTCCTATACAGCGTCTATTATCGCAAAGCTCGAGAGCTTCTGCATAAGACCCAAGTGTGAAACCTTGTTAAATGCTTTGCAAAAACCTATGAATATCACATCGGCAGACAGACCTTTGTCTAAGGCTACTGTCCAATCCTATATCGCAATAAATTAGTAGCGTGAACGCTTGTTACAAAATCCATGTTTCTGATGAGCTAACAGATTGAGTGAATCTATGCGACTTAGCAACTTAACCCGAGCTATCTTTTCAAGTAACTTAACGACTATACTGGTTAGATTGACAGGCCGGTGGTTAGATACGATCTGTCTCTGGCTATCCTTAAATGCAGGACTGATTATAGCGTCTTTCTAATCTCTAGGTAATTGGGCGAGTGAGAGAGACATGTTGAAGAGTGTCGCGAGCGGTTTTGAAATAATGTCCGCAAGCCGTGGATGTAACACATCAAGGCCCGGTATCTTACAAAGTTTGAGGTTAGTTATCAATGGAAGGACAGTTTCCTCAGTCACTTGTACAGATTCAATGGCAATGTGATAGCTTACGTGCTAACCGTTAGATAAATGGTGACGTTACGGACTCGAATGCAGCCTTAAACTTATTCCATTCGTCTTCGGTCGATCCATCCGCGTCGACCGACTAATCTGTCGAGATAGCACGGGCTCTGATTGCCGGAATATTAGCTCGCCAGATATTGGGACGGGGTGGGGCAGATGCAAATTGTATACCATGTGTCCTAAACTTAAAGTAAAGTACAACGTGATCGCTATTCACTAGTGGGGGAATTCGCTGAATATCAAAGACATCCTCATAGTGGTGGGTGAGGGCAAGGTCATGCAGTGACGGATCATGTTGAAAACCAAAATGTGTCGGTTTTGTGATACAATGTACAAGTGCACACTGAATAGCGGTTGATAAAAGGTCGCTATTGAAACCAACACCTGTAGCTGTAAGCTCTATCCAGTTGATATGCAGTGCGCCGAAGTCCCCAATAATGAGACATTCTGCCATACTCCAAGGACAGGTGTGTCTTAAAATAAAGTCGCTAGCAAGACAACGCGGACTACGGTCTATTCTCCCTATAGTAACTAACCCATTTCTCAATTTAATTTTACAACATGCTACCTCACATGTATCACTAACATACGCCTCCGATATGACTGATTGTATACGAAAGTGATCCCTAACATATAACATTATGCCTCCCCCCTTGCGACTCAAAACTTTATCACTTCTAACCCAGATATAGTCTGCAATGATGAGGGAACATTCTATATCTACGGTGAACCAAGTTTCTGTAACAACAATTATATCAGAACTTAACTCATCCACCATCAGACTTCGCTTGGACGTTTTATTTCTAAGACTACGGGCGTTCGTGTAGCACATACTTAAGGTGTTTTGGTAATCATTCGTTCTACCAATGCAGGCCTCGGAAGCATTGGCTTCCAAGACCTGACTACCCGAAAACCCTTAATGGTAAGGTTAGTTTCGCCATTTAACTTGCGATATCTCAACTTCGTAAGAGCATTCTTCTACTTGATTCGATCCTCAAGCGGCCAATCTGGTCGGATACGAATATTTGAATCAGAGTTCGATTCCGCATATTAGCCACTGGGATCTTACAATTAATTTTCACTGTAACAGAGTCATGGGAGTCGAGTGAGTGACTCATAGCAATTTTGGTGTAGTTTTGTTCTCTGAGCTGGATGGTTTGATCGTGGAGCTTTCATCCTTCTTCTGAACGACATCATCAGCACAAACTTTAGATAGAAGTGAAGTGTTCGAATTTCTCCATATATGTTTCACAGCTTGTTCTGTGCACCTCGATGTTGATTGGTTCTTGTTGACCTTAAATTTATCATTGTTTACTTCTTTGTTTTGGTTGTGTCTCCCATTGGTTTGATTTTTGTTCCTATATTTATGCATGATTTCCCTGATTGGTTGATAAATTGGATTGATTTCAATATGTTTGTTGATTGCTGATCGACCTGAATGCCAAGCTTCTAAAAATTGTCTGGTGTTTTTGGAGTTTCCTCTGTCTAAGATTTCTACATTTTCCCAATCGAATGAGTGTCCGTAGTTATCCACGTGTATTGATATAAGTGAAGAGATACCATGGCGTCTGACTGGTAATTGATGTTCATGTAGGCGTAGGTGGAGGGGGCGTCCTCTTTGTCCGATGTAGTGTTTGTCGCAGTTGGTACAATTTATTTTGTACATGATGTTTGATTTGTCTTCCTTTGTTATTTTATCTTTTGGTTTGCATAGGATTGACTGTAGAGAACAAAACTCCACCAAAATCATCCATCTGAGCTACAAATCTTCTCCACCATCTCAAAATCATATGAGCGTAATACGCTTCTCGTTGTTCGAAAATGGGAGAATTTCGCCAAAAGGCAGGCTTCCACTCGAGAACAACTATATTTTCTCCATGAGTGTCTTTGCCAGCATGTTCTACCAACAAGTGTAAGATATAGACCTCCAATCAACTGCTCACTAGGATGGAGAATAGCTGAGCAAAGTGGAAGAAAAATGGTACACCTAATGATAACGGATGTACTCTACAGGATCTGCAAGTATCAACACGTCATAGAGGACCAAAAGATAAAGTTACAAAGGATGCTCACATCTGAACATTTGGAAATCATGACAACAGCCATCGAGATATCATGCAAACAACATAGAGAACAAAGAAGAAACACCTTGAAGAAAAAACTAATCAAAATCTCAAAATCACCCATGGAAGTAAACACAAACAACTGTGTGATCAATCTGTCAAAACAACCGCTAACAAATACGGAAGAACACCTGCTCCAAAAAGGATTAAACTACAATACAAGCGACGCCTTAAAGCTGGAGTTCTTCGCAGCACTAGAGTCATCACCCAAAACTTCCGGAATCAGTGAAGAAACAAACCGGGAAATAAGGCAAACTATAGTACCGATAACTCAACAAGTGAAAGAAAACAACCAACTGACTCCACAAGAACAAAAGGTCTTGAAAGAACTCAGAAATAGAAGAGATATTGTCATAATACCAGCGGACAAAGGACGCACTACAGTAGTCATGGACAAAGAAGAATACATCAACAAAGCCGAAGAACTACTCGAAGATAGGAGCACATACAAACTGATGGACACAAATCCCGTCAAAAAATTAGACAATCAAATCTCAAAGACTTTAAACAAGCCAGTCAAAGCAGGAGAAATAACAAAACAAGACCAATGGAGAATGAAATCCAGTGGACCAGTACCCCCTCGATTCAACGGTAGACCCAAAATACACAAACCAAACATTCCACTACGTCCAATAGTAGGACTCCCCGGAACGCCAACATACAATTTGTCAAAAGAAATTTCACGAATACTTATATCAATACACATGGATAACTACGGACACTCATTCGATTGGGAAAATGTAGAAATCTTAGACAGAGGAAACTCCAAAAACACCAGACAATTTTTAGAAGCTTGGCATTCAGGTCGATCAGCAATCAACAAACATATTGAAATCAATCCAATTTATCAACCAATCAGGGAAATCATGCATAAATATAGGAACAAAAATCAAACCAATGGGAGACACAACCAAAACAAAGAAGTAAACAATGATAAATTTAAGGTCAACAAGAACCAATCAACATCGAGGTGCACAGAACAAGCTGTGAAACATATATGGAGAAATTCGAACACTTCACTTCTATCTAAAGTTTGTGCTGATGATGTCGTTCAGAAGAAGGATGAAAGCTCCACGACCAAACCATCCAGCTCAGAGAACAAAACTACACCAAAACCATCCACCTGAGCTACAAATCTTCTCCATCATCTCAACTCATAGCAATGTTTGACGGGGCTTTACTTCGGGACTTAGGCGAAGTAGCCTCTACATTAGAGCTACTCGAGACAGTAATAGTTTTGTCTGGATCACCGGTCACAAATATGTAATGACGCGTCACTCAAATGGTTATGATGGTCGTGGGCGACATAGATGAAAATTTAGCCTTACAAGCTTCTGCGTCGAGAATTTATAATTCACTACTTCTTCTAGGTATGGATCTAAGAGAATGAAACAAACCTTGCTGTTAGGATGAAAAAAGGTTTATGGATAACAAACGGTCGCTTAGGCCTGTGGTGTTACTGGTTCCTCATCTCACTATCTTTGAAGATGAGTATGTGATTTCTGATAAGATTTGCATTAAACATGTTACACTCACAGAAGACAAAAGATTGCGAGAGTGCAAACAGTTGATCGGTATGACATGGCTTGGCCTTGCAGACGTGGTCATCCTGCTTAACTCATTTCTTTTCACATTACATATATTCTGTCCCCAGTTCAAATGTGTTCTTCAGAATTGCAAATAATTGTATTGCTGATTTTCAAGATAAAACGAGTCAGTGTAGACCATGATGCGTCTTCCATGTAAGATCCTCTAGATTAGGTAGTCACATCATGACAAATCTACAATTTTTATTATATAAGCGAGGATAAATGTACTATTACTGAACTAAATCATAATTTTAAAGGCAATTGCAATACACAGATACCAATACCTTTGTAGTCAATGAAGGAGAGTTTCCAGATGTCAGTTCGAATGATCATTGGTTCGGATTCTTCTAACAGTTGGAATGACATGTGTCAGCGTATAATTATGTTAGACCACACCTAGGCCAACTGAAGGTGAAAACACTGGACTATAGGGCCTTTACCGAATCTAGACGGCTTCTTTCAGTAAAACAGAGTGAATCATTGCCGGGTGAGGGGATGTCTACTTATTTTGGCGCTTTAGTTAACAGTGATCGAAGTTGGTACTTATATCCACTTCCGCGATTTAACTCAGTCCCAGAAAGGCCCACTCTGCCTGGCATCACAGAATCCAAACTTCGCAGTAAAGCTTTAAAAATTAAGGACCTAGCCCACTGCGAACTATCTGCTATAGATCCGTGTGTGACCGGTCCCAAATATTTATCCATACGGATGGATTTAGGCCACCAGAGGCTTAAGACCTCCCTAAACAAGATCAGCTTATCAGAACATTGAAGGTGAAGTGCCATTCCGTAGTGTAAGGGACAAAGATTAAAAATCGCTTACAGGAGATTTGAATTTTTCTGACTAAGGAAGTAAGAACACCAAACGATAGAAACACAATACGTCGCTTCCCCACCACATGACCTAAGCTTCCGAATGAGGTAAAGAATTAGCGTAGACTGAAAAATGTCTACGTAATGATCGTCGGTAGCGGTTGGAGGTTAGACAGAGGCGACCGCAAAGGTTAATGAAATAGGCAACAGTAAACAGCTTTTCGGACTAATCAGAAGAGTAGGCACTAAATATTTCAGAATTAGCGAGACTGCTTCTGAAGAAGAGGGTGCTATTATTAACTATCAATCCAGGATACTGGGACGATGGATAAAATAGTGTGAAAGCAGTTCAGTTGCTTTCCAGCTATCCTTCGATTGCCTACTCCCACCGAAGCAACCTGAATGTCATGCCGATATAACCATCCTTCTTTGTGATCGTCCCACTTTATTAGATATGACAAAAGCCCTTTTGTGACAACCACAGAGGAACCAGTTTAAATAATCTGATTTCTAGAACACTACCTAGATAATCGTATTTTTCTACTATAAGGCAGCATTTCGTCCTGCAGATCAACAGGTTTTTTTTTGAAGTATCCGCCATTAAAAGGCATACCAAGGACGCACATTAACCTTGTACAGGCTCTCTACTCCAAATACATCGAGGGTGAATCACGCTCTCAGAGACTGAATGACATGGCTTAGAAACGTTCGCAAAGACACAGGTTCATTCACTCTGTCTTCCTTTAAATACTAAGTTTCTAAATTCCTCATAAATTTCTTTCTATCATTTCACTAATTTGTACTTCTCGAATTGTGTCTTGGATGCTCAACCTTTCCTATTGCCATTGATGCTGTTACTACCTCTACTACTCTGGGATTCGCCTTGACAATTTCGTCACCCTGTGTTAGTGTGGTATGGCAGCTTGATTCGACGTACACGTGTGCCAGGTTCTACGTTGCATTTGACTGATTATCTACCATAAGACTCGTTTGTTAATTACTCTGGATCAAATCGCTTAGATACGTTGTTGTTAAACACTAATTTATGATTTTATTATAGTGGCCGGATACTACTTCAAACAACACCCGCTCACTTGGTTAGCCCCTTAGATAAAGCGCTTCGAGAAGCCTCTACAGTTGATGGTGTTCTTGAGCTGCAAAATGAGCACATATGGTCGATTGGATACAAGGACCTTGCAGGAAGTTTGTATGTTCGTGTTCGCCGGGATGCTAATGAGCAGTTGGTTCTAGCACACGTAACCAACCGTCTTTCCAGCTTGGTGAAATATTTAACAATACAGGTGTGTGGTTTTTTCTGATTAAATATAAAATGCTTTCATCTGTGTCAGTAAAAATTAGGTTTCAACTTGAATTCACTCAAATCCATCTGGGTAGCTAGAATATTACCTACCATAGTCACATAACATGTACAATGCGAATCCTAATATTTATTCTATTTATTTAAACGCATAAACATTGGTACAAGAGGGCACCAAATATATGTGCGCAACACAAATCATTCAATTCGTGTGGGGGGCACTCCCCGAGCATTTGACCTGAAGGTTTAATCCACGAGGCAGTAGGGCAACGTAGGGAGATGCAGTTTTATGGTAGCCGGTCACCAACAATAGGTTCATACACCTTTTGTTCCATCAGGATACTGGAGCCTATGTGCACCATTGGAATCAGGGTTTTCCAACTCCTCTAGGTGGACTCTCCGTATCCACCAACCCAGTTAAAGCATCTGACATTCGCTTTTCGTCCTCTCAATTTCATAAGCAACAGTAATTCTGCGAGAATGCAGTGAGTAGAACTTCCCTGGCAGTTGTCGTGTGGACGTGGCCATGTGAGAGCATTTCGAGATGGAGAGCTGACTTTCTCCACTCTTGGCTGTACTAGGGCATTTGGAGGCGAATCCTAATAAATCAAGTTGAGATGAGTTACTAAGCTTCACACGGGCTAACAGTCTTTGTAGTCATATCTCAATATTGTCTGGAACGTCCCTCATATACACTGATGTATGTTCCTAAAGCTTTCCATGTTAGGTAGTGTTAGTCGGTGTTTATGATCCTCATAAGTAAACGAGTTATTTGGAAAAGTCTCAATTATGAAATTATCATCTAGCTCTTCAATAAACAAATTCAGACCATGTATCCGTCCATGTAGCTATATTTCATTAACCGTATGACATTGAATAACTCGTAAAAGTATGTTCAGCAGAAAATAAGACTAACCAGTTAATCAAAGTTATGGATTAATAACAACAGGCAGTTATTTAGAAAATGGAACAATATATGTAATTTAAGAAAATGCATCTCAGTTATTTAGTATTAAAACAAGGAAGTTTTCTGCAATTTTAGGTTTATAAAGATGACTGGACGCGAGCAACAAACTCGTTTATCATGAATTGGTCACCCGCGAACAACGCACTGTATAATCAGAACATTCCTGGTACACAAGTTAGACCTGATCTAAAGCATAATCTACCGTCATCTTTACCTGCATCAGCCTCACATCACAAAACACAGGAAGACAGTTATCAGGAACCTCAAGTTAATCCTAATCATTATATCTTTGCGTAAACGTTTATCTCGTAACAGTTAGTTGATTGGAGCAAATGATCTCTTTTACACAAATTAACACGGTTGAGTATTTCACTTTTATTGTTGTATTAACATCTTGAAAAATATTTTCAAAAAATTATAAAAAGAGCAGCGTATTTCAAAGTCATTATCTGGTAACTTGGATTAGTTTTAATTTCGTTTGATCAAACTTCCAACGGGAGGAACAGATAACTTAACAGATTCTGAGGAGGATGTATCATGGGGTTGAACGTTGGTAGGAATACCTGTGTCCCATTTACTTGGTTTTTTTGGTTCTGTAAAATAAAAGTATGATAATTTGAATCAAGAATACAAAGTTACATGAAAAGGATTCTGAGTTTTGAGTTATTAGCAATATCGACCTGTCACTGTAATCATGTGGCTAGTAGACTTTATAACGCTCAACTTACACTTTCGAAGAACTGTGTTTATTGATTACAATCGTAATTACAAAAGCGATGAATAGGTTATGTGGTTTTTGGAAAGTATGGTTTTCTAGGTTTTTAAAAATAAAGGAAAAGGATTGTCTTTTGACTAACAAAATTTAGATTTTTGATCGACATGCTTATTTTTAAAACGTTGTGTCTATTTTTTGTCCTTCAAGTAATTATGGCTTTGCTATAATTCTACAAAAAAAGGTTAAGTCATATGTTCCTAGTCTATGGATTATTAAAATTGTATGAAATGTTACTGATGTTACAATCGTAGCTACATTTTAATCCTTTGATCTGAATCGAAATCGTTCGAAGTTGAGAGTAACTGGTGTGAAATTTACATTCAGCGTTCGCTTTATCAATGATACCAGTAGTTAACAGTCTATTGAAAAATCTTACATTTCATTTTGTGTTGGTACTTGCTTCTTCAATAATAGTAAGTCAATTCGCTATCTTCACTAATCCTATGTAGTTTTATTCAGTGGATTTATAAAGGTTATTTCACGAGTCTTCCCACTCTTCTACACCGAAATATATTTGATGGATCTGTAATTGTTAAAACATATCAGTTTACAATGATTGAAAGACCGTTCTTCGAAATACAGTTAGAGCAAGAACGTCAAAGATTGGTGGAAATGAAATCGGCAATTTCTAAGACGCATAGTGGAAACACTAGCGGTAAACGAGTGTAAGGTTCCCTTCTAAATAGTCTATTCCTAAATCTATATAAACAATGAAAAGGTGTTTACTGCTAGACAAGATTTACAACACAAAGAATGGAAATGTTTATTAACTACATTGTAGAAAGCATTATTTAGGTACAACCTATTACTTTGTATATAATGAATGTTTCCTTCGGGGGTTTGGAAGTGCATGTGAAGTATAATTCACGCCTAACTTACATATCTCCAGGCGTTCATTGAGTACTGGTTTTGTACTCAATTGATGACACAATATAACATACTAAACTGACCATTCTATATAACATCCTAGAAATCATATACGAGACTATGTAACAGGTTATCTTAAAAACAGACAAAATTACTTTGAAAATGTAGTAGGTTAGTATAATTTCAATCTCAACTGTTAGAGTGCTAGATTTGTTATTTCCGCCCTTTATTTTTAGACCCTATATTCAGGATTTGTTGATAAGGCAAAAGTGAGCACGAAGCAGATTCTTTTACGAATAACATTTATAAAGTGATTACTCATTCGGGGACATCACCACCTACTATAATTAGCAATGAATCAAATCTTTTATATATGAGAAAAAATGTTCTTTTTACATTTACTTACGATTCATGTGTGTTATGACACTGTCATATCTACACTTTCTTCAGCACGTTTTTTAAGGGAGAAATAGATATAGTTCAGAAAAATACATTAGCTAACCTATGTACCCCGTAGAAACGGACCCTCCAGATGTAGTAATGGATTTGTCTGTGCTAGTAATTGGATTTTTAGGTGCATTCGCACTTGTGCTGTTGTTTGCATTCGTTGTATTTGGGTCAGATTTTTAAGTTCTTTTTGCATTTTCATCAGTCGGTCGATTTCACGATTTTGCACCTTTGCAAGTTCTTCATAATATGACTGCGGAGTCCAACGATAGGGATCGTATATATCCTGGTCAAAGTATGAGTCATAAAGTACTTATGATGTATTACGTACAATCAGTCTTCATAAAGTTTCACATAAATGTTTTTACATACAAAGAGTGAATAGTATAAAATAAGCTTGATAGACTCAGCTACATTGGTTACCAAACAAAGACTTAGCTTTATGTTTTACCCATAAAATAACATAGGAATCCACATAAGATGCTATTACAATACCACATCAAGCATTGGAAATAACACAATCTGTTTGTATATTCTATCAAAATGAATACTTATCAGTTTGATGGTATTCCAGTGGTTAGGGCGTTCGACTTTCACCCACAGCCGAAGGCTCAAACCTCAATCTCCTTACTTGAGTTTGGGCGATCAATTAGTATTAACAGCCCTCACACCTATGTTAATGTGGTAAGTCAGTGAATAAAGCTATGCACTATCATTGATTTTAACTGTACGTACGTAACGCGTCGTAGCCAACCCCTATACTAGTACGATATGTTGGCAAGACAATAAGTAGATTGGAATCAGAGGGATTATACTAAGATACGAGACCAGTTTATTAATTCATTAGATATTGATCTGAACCGCGTAGAGGAGATACGCACTTCCTATCTGAAATATACAAGCAAATTGTAATTTATGGCTCAAAATCAGTTGCGGTTACGCGAATGTGTGAGTGGATAATATGAAAAACATTACTATACTAATCTGTGTCTCACTAAAACCCAGAACTACCGTACAGAGATCTTCACACTATTTTAAACATATCAATATTTTATGCCGTTTTTAGGGCATTTATACTTGTTAAACACATAGTTAACACATAAAATGGCCTCTTCTTTACACCTTAATATCAATATAATTTACTAAGCACACGAACACTAGATTAGTATCTATGAATTACATGATATTAGGCATTTGTAACAATAGACTTACTGTAGAGAAGTTAGTTCCTTTCTCGTCAATTTTCAAAAAATCGATCAGCTTTTCATAAATACTAAAATAAAACTGAGTTTATGTTTGTCCACACGCTTACACACCTGGGATTACGGAACGCTTTGTTATCTTGAATTGCTCTGTTAGGATCGTAGCTTATATCCAAGCGCATACGACGCACTGCTCGCTCTACTCTTTCTTGAAGCACCATTGAACAGTGACCAGTAGGTTCAGAGGGCAATTGAACCGCTTGAATAAGGCGTTCTGTAAGGGTAGGACTTTCTGCTTTCGCTTCAATAGTGATTAAGTTTGGATTTTTTACATCATTTACTGGTTCTGAAATATGAACTTGGTTTTGGGACAAGATGTTGATAGGCTGGTCAGAACTGAAAATAGTTGGGGGTCCACCCGAATTATCCAACGGAATATCCATACTACCAAGATGGAATCCATGATCATCTTTTGATTTAGGATCATTTTCACCATCAGAATCAGTGTTCTGATCTGTATCTAACACCGTATGCTCATCATCATCTTCGTCGATGGCATAGGAAACTAAACCCGAAGGAACTATTGAGTAAAAGGAAAAAAAGGAAATGAACTGCATTATACACTTACTTGCTAATCTAGCTTTCTTTGTTGGTACTGATGAGTTATTTGTATCGTTTTCCGCATGTTTATTATCACTTCTTAACGGTTGTACTACTTGCTGACGGTTATCGGAAAAAATGGGTGAGCGCGCTATAATTTATATGAAATCAGTTCAAGAACCATGAAAAGACACTTACAGGTATCTGATAAGACAGCTGGTGTCCGAATACGCTCATCCTCCGAAGTGTATATTGCTGGGATTTGCTCATCTATGGTTTGTTCATATTCTCCTGAAATCCGACATAAAATTAGATTGAGGTGGACTCTCCGTATCCACCAACCCAGTTAAAGCATCTGACATTCGCTTTTCGTCCTCTCAATTTCATAAGCAACAGTAATTCTGCGAGAATGCAGTGAGTAGAACTTCCCTGGCAGTTGTCGTGTGGACGTGGCCATGTGAGAGCATTTCGAGATGGAGAGCTGACTTTCTCCACTCTTGGCTGTACTAGGGCATTTGGAGGCGAATCCTAATAAATCAAGTTGAGATGAGTTACTAAGCTTCACACGGGCTAACAGTCTTTGTAGTCATATCTCAATATTGTCTGGAACGTCCCTCATATACACTGATGTATGTTCCTAAAGCTTTCCATGTTAGGTAGTGTTAGTCGGTGTTTATGATCCTCATAAGTAAACGAGTTATTTGGAAAAGTCTCAATTATGAAATTATCATCTAGCTCTTCAATAAACAAATTCAGACCATGTATCCGTCCATGTAGCTATATTTCATTAACCGTATGACATTGAATAACTCGTAAAAGTATGTTCAGCAGAAAATAAGACTAACCAGTTAATCAAAGTTATGGATTAATAACAACAGGCAGTTATTTAGAAAATGGAACAATATATGTAATTTAAGAAAATGCATCTCAGTTATTTAGTATTAAAACAAGGAAGTTTTCTGCAATTTTAGGTTTATAAAGATGACTGGACGCGAGCAACAAACTCGTTTATCATGAATTGGTCACCCGCGAACAACGCACTGTATAATCAGAACATTCCTGGTACACAAGTTAGACCTGATCTAAAGCATAATCTACCGTCATCTTTACCTGCATCAGCCTCACATCACAAAACACAGGAAGACAGTTATCAGGAACCTCAAGTTAATCCTAATCATTATATCTTTGCGTAAACGTTTATCTCGTAACAGTTAGTTGATTGGAGCAAATGATCTCTTTTACACAAATTAACACGGTTGAGTATTTCACTTTTATTGTTGTATTAACATCTTGAAAAATATTTTCAAAAAATTATAAAAAGAGCAGCGTATTTCAAAGTCATTATCTGGTAACTTGGATTAGTTTTAATTTCGTTTGATCAAACTTCCAACGGGAGGAACAGATAACTTAACAGATTCTGAGGAGGATGTATCATGGGGTTGAACGTTGGTAGGAATACCTGTGTCCCATTTACTTGGTTTTTTTGGTTCTGTAAAATAAAAGTATGATAATTTGAATCAAGAATACAAAGTTACATGAAAAGGATTCTGAGTTTTGAGTTATTAGCAATATCGACCTGTCACTGTAATCATGTGGCTAGTAGACTTTATAACGCTCAACTTACACTTTCGAAGAACTGTGTTTATTGATTACAATCGTAATTACAAAAGTGATGTATAGGATATGTAATTTTTGAGAATATGTTTTTGGTGTTGGATTTTGTTATGTTCAGGGAAGTAATCACATGCTTTACTGTTCTACTGTGAAGGAAACTTTGAACGCCTGTTCTCTTTTAGTCTCACTTCGCCGAGACAATATTATTGATAGAATGCATTGGGGTTTTTGTTTGAATACTGTATATATTCTTTGAGCAGGCAGATCATTTCAAGTGTACTCTGAGAGTTGATTTTGCTTACGTCTATAAATGCTCTATAATAAAGTACAAATCCCTGAGGACATGTTTCTGAAATTATTTTCTCGAGTTGTACATGTTTTCCGTCATCTCATTTTAATCATGTACAATCACATTAGGAGAAACATAAACATAATTGTTTGTTAATGTTTACTGGATTGTTTGGAAGTGAGTGTCAAGTGAAATGTTTTAAAATCCTTCAAAATTACGAATTCTATCCCACATAGCTGACAGATTACTTCTTAAAACTTGTATTATGAGACCTTGGAAAGTCAGGATATGTAGTTGATCTCACATTTTCTCTACAACTCGTCTGAAACTTCAGGTTATTCAACTGAAAACGTTGAGTCAACATATACATCGTGGACAGAGATGTGATTGAAAAGTATTGAGTAAAACATTTCTTACAAGCTTTTCTAACTGATAACTTATCGTTTATTTACACCAACGTCTTGGGATACAAAATATCGTTTTCTCATAGAGGAAAACCTCTATCTCTTGATCACTTGATTATACCTTTTCTATTGTGTACATTTCAGACTATATAGACAAATCGCTTAAAGCGAAGCCTTCTCAATACCCAATAAAATCTACAAAAAACGGGCTCAAGTAGATTCGACAAAAATAGGGGGACATTCATTTGTGTATCAGAATACTGTTTTCAGCACTATATTTTATAACTATACATAATCTCATACTTTCATCTTTTTACTGGACCACCCCCATCTGTCAGTTGTTTATTCACTCATACCTTTCTTCCATGTATTTTCTTTAACCTATCAGGATGTTCTTGGTTAATGAATCCTTAATAGAAGAGAATTAGACTGAGCAGTTATACCTTAACTATTCCATCATGGACACTGTCTGCTCTGCTTCTTTTCCTTTCTTTTTCTTACACCGTTTTTCAGCGCTTTTGAGATGTGCCACCGAAAACAGATATGGGATAGGTGACTTCGTCCTGCACCATCATCAAGGCCTCAGATATTTCAGAGGGATTTGAGGTCGTGGTTTCTAGACGTCCACAACTTAATATGGATCTCTTCTCGACCACATCAGTTGCACGTCGCAACTAAACCTTCATAAAATGCATCAACTGCGATACTGACGATACAATCCTTACTAAAACCATCTACATTCATATCCTATAAAATATCAACCCAGATGAGTAATTTACTACAGTGAAAATTGTATCATTTGTAACAATTTGTTCTTCCCTGTAAACTGGCATGCCTCATGTAACAAACTGTTATTTGAGAATAGATTATTATCATAACCATTTGTGTTTAGGTGAATTTTATTCTTTCTATGCATACCTACATCCACATACTTTCTCATCAAATACTTGCTTTGGCCTGTCAACCCTTGTAGAGAAGAATAGGGCGGTCACCAACACCCTCCACAGAACTCTGTCCTCAGCAATCCATGTCAGTTCTTCCTAGTTGCTTTCCATGTCTGCTTCCACTTCTCGACGTAGTATGATTTTGGCCTTCCTCTTTTCCGTCTCATCCCAGGATTCCAAGTTCCAGCTTACCTCGTGATGCAGTTTGTTGATTTCCGCAATGTATATCCTATCCAACTCCAGCGTCTTTTTCCAATTTCCTATTCAGTCGGAATTTAGTTTGTTCTTTCCCACGGTATGCTGTTGTTGATTCGCTTTAGTAGTGAAAATGAATTTTTTCTATTAGCTTTTGATGGCGGGTTTACAGAAAAGGTATGTCAGTGCATCCCTAGAATGCTTTGTGTTAAGGATTTAAGCACTAGATGTGTAACGGAAAGACAACGTTGAAATACATAATAAAACCTCAGACGAGGAAGACTGAAGAAAAAATGATGGGGTTAAACGAGATGTGAACAAAGGTTAAAATACACGATAGGTAGAAGAAACAAATAAGTGACAGTACTGTCCAGCTCAATCTCTACCACTTGGGTTACCGTTCACGTTAGTTGATGGGACTGAGTCCCACTAGCCGGGTGGCACGATGGCCAGGTTCTGATAACCACTTGCTTGTGCAATGGCATGAATTTGAATTCACTTGGTATTGTTTGGCTTGTATCTTCCCATTGAGTTTTAACACTGCATTTGATCAGTCTGTTATTGGCATATGTGCATACTGTGCGTATGCCTCGATATTGGCTGAATTCACAAGCTACTAAGTAACTAAAATATTCAGGAGGCAAAACGCGACCCACACGTACTCATCGTGCCACCTGGCTAGTGGGACTCAGTCCCATCAACTAACGTGAACGGTAACCCAAGTGGTAGAGATTGAGCTGGACAGTACTGTCACTTATTTGTTTCTTCTACCTATCGTGTATTTTAACCTTTGTTCACATCTCGTTTAACCCCATCATTTTTTCTTCAGTCTTCCTCGTCTGAGCTTTTATTATGTGATCTTGATCAAAGACTTATCCTTTGTTATCTAGTTTTTTATTGCATTTTGCCGGACTATTGACACTAGGGTCGTGTTTGACTAAGCTTGAAGTCACGGCATTGTTCAATGTGTGGCTGTTAACCTTTCGATTGTTTGCTTGGGAGGATTGCTGGAATCACTGCGGATAAATATTTGATCCCATCTTGTTGATAATATTTTTATTGATTCTCAGATATCAAACCCTTTGGTACTAACTGTTTTTTTATTGTTTGGCGCGCTACTTTGCGTTAGAGAAACTTCTGACTATATAGCACAGGCTGTACCGTTTGAAGTATTTTGTATTTTTGATACAATTTGTTCTATTTCCTAAATTCGAAAGTTTATATTGGACACAGAGTTTGCGTTTTGATATAATTTAATACGAGTATCTCAAAAACACTTCGTACGCTATACAAAAGAACGTAGTCTGGCCTATTCGAAATAATTTTGGTTCATCAGTCCTGCGTTCAAACCGAATACTGGTAATTTGGCCGTTACAAGATGTATCAAGTGGCGACGGAGTCAACTTATCAAGATGTCATTTACTTTTGACCAAGTTTGAGCTTTGCTGGAGCGTCAAGAAAAACGTTAAGGGCAGTTTCAGATTTGTATCCTAGAAGCTCTAACCCAGAAAAATGAACCTGAACCAAAATGGGCTTGCAGATGATCCGTTCGAATCCCATGTTGACCACATCATTAATTCTATCGATGAATTACATTTTTATAGTTTGGTTGTTGTTACATTTGAATAGTAGTTCAAGAAATGATATGTATCCAAGTCTGATGATGCCTCAAAGCTCTGACTACTGCTACGCAAACTTGACGCAGCTGGAGATAAACGCTAGACCAACTTGTTTCTCCCCAAGAGTCCCAGAGACGTTTGTTTTTGGTGCAACAGACGTAATTTTGTAGCAAATCTTTGGTGAATAGTCATCTTTGTTCAGTATTCGTTACCAATGTATTAAGTTAGCAAAACCTGCAGATGATGTGTGGGTGAGCGTTTTAAATTATCGGCAATGACAGAAGACTAGTTCAAGTGTCTTGCTTTTGTACGCAGCTCGCAGTCGCCTGAATATGCAAATATCAGATCTAGAATTTTGAGTAAAATTGAATGATGTCCAAATATAACACTACAAGAAGTGACTAGTGAATGTCAGAAGTTGGTGAACTTAAAGCACGACGCTTATATGGTTCAAAACAGTGGCCAGCCACCATAAGTACAAGTTATAAATAACCATAGCATTAGATAAATCATAAAGATGTTTAAACAATGAAGAGAGGAGGCTTAGAACAAGCAAAGAAAATCAATTTTCTGAGTGCTTCAAATCACAGAAACGTTTAGCATGAATATATTTCGCCCTATACTCATTCGTGTCGCACAAAGTATATGATAATCGGTGCAAGACTTTAGTGTCTTAACGAAAATTAATTGTAGGTTGTTGTTGTTACGTCCAAGGTTTCACTCTCTTCCGTTATTGAAGCACAGTAGATCAACTTGCTTGTAACCTACGGTACTAAATAATAATAGAACCAAACATTAATCTAGTAACCGAAGTTTATTTGTAAATTACAAGTAGTCGGCCCAAATACCGTTATATTAATGTTCATAACAATTAAAAACCAAACCTTCGATTTTTAGGTTCCCGGAGCAAAAACTTCAAAATGCCATACCAAAGATGAATTGAAACCAAAACTTCCGGAGTCAGAGATATGACCAAAGGAGTTCAAAAGTTCAGCAAAACAAATACATCCAAAACATGCTGAAATCAATACAACAGTCTTTAGTCAGTCAAACGTTTTCAATTCTCCCGTAACATTTAGATCAATGGTAATAGTTGAATCCCTAGCGAACAAGAGAGTTGAATACTATACACATAGTCCTCTTTGTCGCTTTGAAAAAGCAACAATTTACTTTAAAACCCCTTCTTTTCCTCATTCATTGGATGCTAATATCTTAACTGGTCAGTCTGATTTTCAAATTGAGTGTCTGTATCAGTCCTCTTAGTGATAAGGTTTCTGTTTCTTTATTATTAAGCTTCGTATTTGAAAACTTATAGATGAACTTCGAAGGACCTCACGAAAACCCTGAATTTAGTTGTTCTCTCATCAGACTTCTTGATAGAAATTTATGGAAATCCTTGTAAACCATGATTTGAAAATCATGAATAAAGTTATTGAATTTTATCCGACAATGGCACCAAACATCAATCGTGTTATTTTGAGTTATTTCATTGATTCAGTGTGAGATTTGGTGATGTGTCGGAAGTTTTCAAGAGATGACATAAGTTTACATTAACTCAAAGTTATAACTAATTGACTTAGAAACCAGCCTGACGTAAGACATTCTCCATAAAACTTGACTTATCAGTTCTCTTGATATTCTGCAGCGTACTATCACGAGGTGATCCAGTGATTTGAATAATTGTGCAGGGAGGCATTTTTTGAGGATACGCTGTTGTGCAAAATAAGAGACCATGCATCACTTTACAAAAGTTACAACAATAAAAGTGAGTTATTATAATTTTGGAAAAACAGCCAGTTCGTATTCGAACACTGTTTTCTTGCTAAATATTGAAGGTACACGATCAAAGACTTTCAGCTTTTTTAAATCACTTCCGTTTGTACTACTCTTTATTTATTCAACGCCATACTTTCGCCTGTTTTCTTTAACCTGATGAAATATACTTGTTTAGAAATCGGCCTAATAAAATGGAATGAATCTAAGAAGTCCTGCCTCAACTATGCGATCACAATTCACTGGTCGTGAACATTATCTGTTCTGCTGCTCACCCTTCCCTTATCCCTCATTTTTCAGCGCCCTTGTGGTATAGCACCGAAGACATGGACTATGGCTTCATCCTGCACCATCACTAATACCTCCGGAATTTATCTGTGGTCATTATCAAAAAGCACTTGGACATCTCTCCGAATTATTCATTTGGCTAACTTTGCCGTGAACTTTGTAAGAATGGAGACTTCTCCTTAATCTGATACAAACGTCACTTCATGGAAGTTGGCTGATAATTGCATCTGAATTAGTTAAAGTACACGCTTTAAAGAAATCATAAAGGGTAAAAATTTTTGAAGTTTTTGTCCACATCTCTGATCACGCTAAAGAACTGAGGCTATCCAAAGTGAAGGTGAACAAGGACAACTTCCCAATCTATAGGTAGCAAGGTCTGGTGTCGGGACTAAGGTTAATCGTAGTAATAACACCAGACTCAATTATGGATACTCAAAAAAATTTGGAATTAATGAATGAAGTACTTATGATGACCACAATTTAGACTTACAGCAAAGTCAATTCACTGTATTTCCATCACTATAGAAAGCTAAGAATGAATGAATCTGTAGAGGAAAATGGTTTTTTAAACCTATCATAAGTAGACATATTATAGCGAGCTGAAATATCAGTAATTACAAAAAAAGCATAGACGGCATATTGCAGAACAAGCAAGTACCAGTCATGGCTAACAGAAATGACAGTTACGGCGTACATTCCGCTATTCACCCATACATACAAATGAACATAGATGCAAGAAATTCAGAAACACTTGAAACATATTTGTTGAGAGTAGGCATATGCCTGTGCATTTGTGATGGGTCTGTTTTCAGTGCCAATATATACGCATTGCCAACATTTTTACGTTTGTATGGTAGATGAGCGCTGCATTTTAGGACATAGTTTTCACTAAAGATTCCATTTTAAGCTTCGACTTTCGTCGTAATTGCTCTCTTATTATGGAAGTTGGAATACGCTTTAGCGTCACTTTCAGAGAAATCATGTAGATTTGGATGATTGAAATGAAATCCCCAGTGATCATCATGCTCACCCATCAATTAAACGAAGTGGAAACTACTCGAAAACGCTAGATGTTGCACTTCCATTGTTGGCTGAAAAACGGTTGGTTAACCTTAAACGTATACATGGACAATAGATATTTTGATTGGACGCTTATAGGAGAACTAAGGAGGTGTGTGTTTATATAGTCAAAAAACTAAGTCAATCTGAGCCTAAATACAGTACACTATCATGGAATCATTCACTCTCTAAGCTTGAGTACGAAATTTTAAATTGGTTATTTTACGATATAAAATAGACATTTTTGTGTCGGGTGACTTTTCAAAATTGGAATTTCGAGGTTATGGGTTTGTGTGAGTCTGGTGAAATTTAAGATAGACTAATCCTTTTATGAGTTTCAGAACTGTTTGTTCTCTTTTAAATATTTAGTGCTGTTAAGAGAAGCGTCTCCTATTTTTAGTCATTATTGTTAGATGAAGTTAAAAAGAATACAAATATATATTTTATTATAGCTATGTTGCGTCGATCAGTATTCTTAAAGAAACATAAACCTAGATAATTCTCCTTTTCAGTCGTCTATTTGTAGCTCCTGAACATTCAGCTGGTGATAGCTTGCATCTTTATATATGTCTTTATTTCCTCTTTACACTTTTATGCGGTTGGTCAAATTGACCTACCGATTTTCAACTACAAAGAACTACCTAATCACAAACGGTAGCCTTGGGTTTGGTCTGATCCATACTCGGTGGGAAGTAAATGTTTTGAATATTTCTGGGTCATGCTTCTACAACTGTCATATATAACGGTTCATATTCTGAAATTTTCTTACATATTCCTGTGTCAGTGAGTCGTTTTAGTTGATGCTGTGATCATTTCCGATCGTTCCTTGTGATTACAGGTTCAGTATTATATGAAAGGTATTTTTCGCGGCTTAATCTAGCATGAAAATTCACAGGACTCAATCCCAACTAAGTTTGTACAAGAAGGTTGAGTGGTAGGTTTTTAAAGAGCTAGTAGCTGGTTGGGAGTAGTAAGTAATGGATCAAACCACAACTCCTTAATCTAATGAAGTTCCAGTAATTTGGCTCACAAAGAGTCATGAAACTCACTGATTAACAACTTACCACTCGTTTATTAAAAGGTTTTGCTTTTCTGTGGCCGGTTGTTTACCTAGAAAAAATTCATTTTTCAGTGATATTTCTCGTTAAAGAATTGTTATTTGTGAGCCAGATTTCAGTTAGTCGCTGGTGCAACTGTGCTACGTTATTTATACCCTTAGGCCATTTATGAAGACAGTCCGAAACCAGGTTGCCTTGTAAATTAAGAAGTTTAATTAACTACTATGAATTTGGTGTTCATCTTGTTGTGTCAGTGAGGCGTGGCAACTTAAGCCAATGCATATATGTGCCTAGTTCTGAGTCGTAGCTAACTGAATGACTGTGGTTTTCGATTCTGATTATCTAATGTTTCAGTAGAGAAATGTAGCAATACTAACTGGCAATTCGCTCTTCTTGAACAAAGCTCCACACCACGCTACCATTCAAATGATAATTCTACTGCTTATGTGCTGCCTAAAAACACTTTCACCTTTAGTTTACCAATTGCAGTGCAAGTGGTTACGTTTATCCTAACATTTATTTATGATTCATTTAGTAAGCCATAAGTGCTGTGTTGCGCAAAAGATTATACAAAGAGTCAATAGCATGAAATTTTAGTAGTGATTGTCGGAAATGTTTTACCTGGAATCATGCTTTTCAAGTTCAGGATTCGAATGGTTCGGAACTGCCCGGTGACATCTTGTTAACCTACGGAGATAATCCAAGTTGTAAATAATGAAAAATAACTGTTTAGAGCTGTTGGGACCACCTTAGTTGGAAAAAGATTGTTTACTTCCCACTTCACTTTTGGGTTTGTTTCGCATTAGGCATTGTAAAATCTATATTCGGGTGTAATGAACAAAAGTTATTTCGCTGTATTACTGGTTAATTATGAAACGGTCCTCAAAAATACTATCATTATTAATTACATTCATATCTAGCGAGTGTGTCAGTTCTGTGGAAATTGTGAGTAAAATGACTCACAGCAAATGTAGTTTTATTACTGATGTCTTGCTAAATGAAGACTCAATTCAGTTTCCTAACCTTTTTTAACAACCTTCTTAAGATGTAAATACGCATCACAAACGAATGGAAAAAATTAATTCCACGTCATTTTCATTCCAACTGATTAGGTTATTACTCGTCATATCAGCTACTTTGTTATTCGAATGTGCACGGCGTTGATACTTTTATTTGGCGTTTTCGGACTTTCGTATTACTGATTTTTTTTATTCGTGCTGATGCGGATCTGTCAACGCTCTTTTGTACTACGGTTCAAATTTCTTAGGCATGAATGATTTATCATAATCCCTCATATTTAATAACACTGACTTGTTTTTTAAAGTATTCCCAGTCTTCTCAACTATCAAGAAATGTCGTGAACGATATAAGTGAATTGAAGTAGTTTCTATGATCTTTCAGTGTAAAACTTCGGTAACTGGATAACTGTCAAGATGAGAGTAAACTACTAATCAATATGACATATAATCACTCAGTATAATACTCACATGAAGCACCAAATAGGATAACGGGCCACCGGTATTTTCTCATCTCTTGCTAAATTTTGGCGATAAAATTGTATTTTACTTTTTATGTGGGTGATATCAAAGATGTTATATACAATGCGATCACCATTTATTGTTTTTATGAATACCTATTAGGGTGCCACGGTAATCTTTCGCTGTTCACAGCTCCTCACACTGACCTTGGAAAATCCATTTACTGATATTAACTTATCGTATTTACATTGTCTTTGTGAGTCATTAGTCAGTAAGAGCCAGTTTTCTTATGATGAGGTTATATGTACTAATTTGTCTCATTTAAAATTATATACGAAACCTTTGTTTTCTGTGCTTATGTTCATTCAGAACGAAAGGTGAAAGCCGCTGAGATATTTTAAACTAGATTATAGGGATTTATTTTTACATCGTTCTCTTTAGTTTCAGTTCGTAACAAAAGTATTAACTTTGGAAAAGACTCGATAGGTTATTAAACTGAAGAAGTGTTGTATGAAATCTGATTTTTGAAGACAGACATCTGAAAGAAAACTGTTAGTATATCTTCTATCTTCTTTATTTATCAGTCCTTGGTGTTCAATCAATGACTTGGATGTATTTGGTTTTTGAAATTATGGGCAAATTGTCAACTCGAAAATACATAGCTGTTTTTTGTTATTAAGACCTAATATACTTTATTCTCTCTCAAAACAACTCCGTTAACAAAATTTGTCTTGGAAGCCCGTCGCTGAAAGTCTCTGTCGTTAGCGACAGTAATCATTAGTCTTATATAGTTATTCTTTTTCAAAATTTAATTGAACTGTTTTTCGATCTCTTTGAATTTAATTATTTGCTGAGTTTTTATTTTACTTGTAGGTCAGAAGTTTGACGGTCTTTGTCAACCAAAAACCAGAAGATGGGTTGGGATTACTGTTGGAATACTGGAACTATTTTTTTTTGGAGGATATTACTACGGTTTCAATTCCCTTATACCAGCTTGGAAATCATTAGGGGTGTCTGCATATAATTGTAGTAATGCAACGAATACCTGTTTATATGATGACTCTATATTTGGAAATGGTTTTATTGTTTGGATTGTCACGCAAAATTGTCTTATTTCATTCTCTGGTATATTCATGGATAAAGTTGGATTAAGGGCTTTAAAGTTGGTAGCTATAACCATGTATTTTGTTGGAACACTATTATTTGCCTTTATTCATAGGGAAACAGAACCATTGTATTATATTGCCGGTATATTGGTCGCTATAGGAAGTACTTCAAATCTTATATGCAATCAACATATCACTTCGATGTTTCCAAAATATCGAGGGTTCGGAATATCTCTTCTCTCTGGTGCTTTTGACTCTAGCACACTAATAGCATTTATACTTTCTGAAACATATTCACAGTTTTCATTACAGAAATCATTCATTATCCTAGCGATTGTTTCTATATGTGTTGGTCTATTCATGGCTACATTTATTTTAACCACAAGATCAGATGACATGAGAAAATTTGCAAACAACTTTAGCGATGCTGTAACAAGTGAGAATGTTGGTGAACAGGAGAAACTGTCTCAAGGATGCGTCAGGGATAATAATGAAAACACGGTAATACTTTTTAGACAATATGATAACTTTGATAATTAAATCAACTTATAGTTTTTACTTTCCAATGTTTGGATGGTAGGAACTGGGAAGGATATTTATCACCTTGTAAACTCCAATTTATAATAGGAATGTGTTTTGAAGTTTGTCGAAATAGGATTATTCACATAATTGTTGGTAATTATTCAGCTAGATTGAAAGGAACATAAATGGATCATCGTTTGTAGACTGGGTGGTTTGGAATTTTGTTACTCTACACTACACTTACTTACGTCTGTTACCCCTCGTGGAGGAGCATAAGCCGCACACCAGCACTCTCCACCGAACTCTGTCCTGGGCAATCCTTTTCAGTTCTTCCTAGGTGCTTTTCATGTCTGCTTTCACTTCTTGACATAATATAATCTTTGGCTTTCCTCTTTTCCGTCTCATCCCAGGATTCCAAGTTCCAGCTTACCTCGTGATGCAGTTTGTTGATTTCCGCAATGTATATCCTATCCAACTCCAGCGTCTTTTCCTAATTTCCTCTTCACCTGGAATTCGGTTTGTTCTCTCTCGCAGTAAGTTGTTGCTGGTAGTGGCCAGCCAACAAATTTGGAGTATCTTACGTAGACAATTGTTTATAAATGCTTGTACTTTTTTATGATAGTTTTAGTGGTTCTCCACATTTCAGTTCCGTACAATAGAACTGTGTTGACATTCGTATTGAAGAATCTGACTTTGATGTTTACTGACAGTTGTTTTGAGTTCCATTTGTTCCATTGTTGTTTAACTGTATGGATGCTGCCCTTGCTTTACCAATCTTTACATTTACACCAACATCTGGTCCTCCTTGTTCATCGATGATGCTGCCCAGGTACGTGAAGGATTCCACATCTTCCAGAGCTTCTCCATCAAGTGTGATTGGGTTGATGTTCTCCGTGTTGTATTTGAGGATCTTGCTTTTTCCTTTGTGTATGTTGAGGCCTACTGATGCAGAGGCTGCTGCTACACTAGTTGTGTTCATCTGCATTTGTTCGTGTGTATGTGATAGGAGGCCTTCTTCGGTCTGGGCACCCGGGTAGTATCACAGCACACACACACAAGTATAGTGTGGCGCATATATATTTGGTGCCCTCTTGTACCAATATTTATGTGTTAAAATATAAAAAAAATGTGATAAAAAAGCTAGGTCATCTGCGAAGTCCAAATCGTCTAATTGTTTCTGAGCTTTCCATTGTATTCCGTGTTTTCCCTCAGATGTCGAGGTCTTCATAATCCAGTCAACCACCAGAAGAAAGAGGAAGGAGGAGAACAAACAGCCTTGTCTGACTCGGGACCTTAATTGGGATGCATCTGTCAGCTGTCCTCCATCCACGACTTTGGGCTGTAGTCTGTCGTATGAGTTCCGTATGATATTGACGATCTTTTCAGATACTCACACCATAGTGTCGACGAAATTTCCATAAAATCCTCCTATCCGCACTGTCAAATGCCTTCTCATAGTCAATGAAGTTGATGTATAATGATGAGTTCCACTCGTCAGAGTTATCTTGAATTCGTTAAGTTTGTCAGTATATCAAAGGAACACTGCATTGAACCTTCGTAATGATGTTTGTCCAGCTGTCCAGTATTTTTTTAGCTTCAGTTTCATGTTGGCTACAACCAAGTGGTGATCTCCTGGTTCTTTCGTCCTTCTGAGCTTTTTATTGAGGCAAATATGATTTATCTGGTTCTTCGTGGTGTGATCCGGTGAGACCCATGTAGCTTTGTGTGTTTGTGTGGGAATATTGTGCCACCTATGACCAAGTTGTTAAATGTGCATAGATTTGAAAACCTCTCCCCATTTTCGTTTCTCCCAGTCAGTCCGTGTCGTCCCATGATGTCTTCATATCCGGTGTTGTCCATTCCGACTTTGGCATTTAGGTCTCTCATTAGGATGGCGAGATCCTTTCTTGCGCACTTCACTATGATTGATCGCAGCCTCTCATAGGACTGATCTTTATCGTTGTCGTTGCTATCATTGGCAGGTGCACAACATTTCTTGTGATTCCCTTCATTGTTTTGATGGGTGCTATGGTGATTCTGGATCCATTAGATTCCCATCGTATAAATGCATTTCGTGCTTCTTTGAGTAGGATCAGAGCAACTCCCTGAGTGTGTGGCGGCATTTTCCTCCTCGTGACTGGAGTACAACAGGATCTTTCCCATATCTAGCCTTTGCTGTCCAACTTGGGTCCAATGACTCGCTGATTCTGAGTACTGCCAAGTTGTGTCTCCTCATTTCCACTGCTATTTGATTAGTCCTCCAGGTCTCCCATATTGTCCGGACGTTCCATCTACCTATAAATAATGTTGGTCTAGTTGTTAGAAGAGACATCGGTCTCGCGACATCCGAATAATCTCAGCTTTCATCCGGAGGCGTCATAGTTCTTTCTTGAACTCAGGGGGCAGAGTTTAAACGGTTTGTTTTTTTTTCAATCTGGTTCGCTTCTTTGCTGACAAGGTTTTTTCTATGGGATGAGGTTGCCGACCCCATGCCCATCTCTCCTTCTTTACTCGGGATTGAGATCAGCAGTAACTCTAGAGGAGCTACAGACGGAGTTCTACACTACACACTTGATTATTTATATTCTTTTTCAGTATTGATGATATGTGGACCTTTAAATTTTTTGTTAGCATTCATAAGTGAGTTTTAGATGTCTTTAGATTGTTAATACATTCTATGTATGGGTGACAAGAAACGTCCTGGTGACAACCGATTATCTAATACCGTCAAAGATATATCCTGTGGTTTAATGATATTAAGTACCTTAGTATTAGTATGTGGGGTTGATGATTGAAGTTTACAAAGAATTGGAATATCAATACAGGTGAATGATCCTAATGCTGTCAAACAATCTCTCTAGTGACTTAGATGCAAAACCTATTTCCGGTATGAATAAGAATTACTGGATGGTAGATGCATTACTTGTCGTTTCTCCTCTAGCTACGATCCTCTTAAAGTAGATATACATTTTTTTAATCATATCTCCACATACAAATGATGCTTTGATAATATATATGTTGAACATTATATTGTTAAATACAATTTGTGAATGAAATAAATTTCTTTTGAAAGTTACGGCGATACTATAACTTATGGACGAACCAATCAGACATAAGATAACAGATCTTGGATTTTAGCGCAAAATTCACTCATCCATTTGGCTAAATAGCGTTTTGGCATTTTAGTCGATATCAATTCGTGACTAAAGCCCTAAATCTAATTTCTAACTGTAACCATTAACTGTCCATCGTTTGCGATGAACAGTTGTGGCGCATACATATTTGGCGCATTCTTTTACCAATATTTATGTGTTCAAATAAATAAATAATAGATAACCATTAACTTTAAATCCTAATTCTATTTCCTCACACTAGTTTATAACTTATTTAGTCCTAGTTAGTAGATGGACGTTCTCAAAGGTCGTCCATAAATTATGGACCCACTGAAGTTGCTTATAAAGTTATCTTATGAAAAAATGTGAGCTACCATTCGGTGTAACATGAGTTTTAGCATGGTAAAAACTAACAACATGGACACTGGTACTTTTTCTTCAGTATCGGTGTATTGTAGAAAAAAAATAATTATAATAACAGTGGTTGATCAATGGATTTGTAATTATTTATTGATGTTTACTATGTTTGCTCTCACTTTAACTGTGACTAAATGTTTCGACTGAATCTTGAAAAACAGCAGATAAATGTTCAGTAGATGAGTTCATCAATACTGTTTAAAAGTTAAATGTCCAAAATTTCCTTCCTATGAATGTTGTCAAATGATCTCATTGAATAATATTGATTGATAATATTACCTGACAAAGTGACGTGATGATTGCTTGGATTGAAATATAAGATGAATATAGTTAAGCCTATGTTATGCTGATATTGCTATCAATACAACTGTTGCTATTAGTATTAATAAAAAGTTTGCGCTTGAGTTTAACACACCAGTTGAAATATAAACTTCACTAATGAGAAACATAAAACTCCTCATTACAATTTAAAACTATCGAGGCAGATTAAAAAGTAATTGTCCATCACATTTTTATTTTTAACTGATCATGATCTTTCATGTTTGACTATTTACTTTCATTTTCAGCCATCATTGGATAAAGAGGCAAAAAATATTGAAGTATCTAGAAGAATCAAAATGATAATAGACCTCCGTTATCAATCAATAAAAGATTGTATAATATCGCTACCATTCTTGCTTATTACAATATGGTTTATGCTTGGATTATTTCGTTTTTCAACATTTCTTGGACAATTACAACGTATCATAAACGAATTGTTTCCAAACGACATAATAACCATTGATCATCTATTGCAAATTTCATCAGCATTTTCAATGTGTGGATTTTTAGCCGCTCCAATTACTGGTTTCATAATGGATATATCGCAAGCCTATTGTAGGCGAAAAATTATGCGAAATGACTATAATATAAATGACCAGCATCATAAAAATCAAATTTATTATACATATATATTCGGTTTAGCGCCTGCACTACTTTTTATGGCATTTTGTGCTATGCTCATAAGCTGTTTAATATTCATACCGAATCGTGTGGCTTATTATTTTGCATTTCTGTTTTTTGTTATGCTACGTTCATTGTTATTTAGTGCATCTGTAGGCTTTTGCTTGACTGCTTTTCCTGTACATTACTTCGGAACAGTATGTGGTATATTAAATTCAATTGGTGGTATATTCAGTCTATTACAATATGCATTTCAGTATACAAGTAGCGCAGAAATAGCTAATATTATCATAACTATTTGTTCTGTTGGCTTATTTATACCGCCTGTTATTCTGTTTAAAATGAAAAGTCGGTAAATTTAGGAAGAAATCTCGAACAACAGACATTATTATTCAGTGTATGTATGCTCTACTTTTTTAAAATTGATAATCCTCAACACAGTGTACTCTTAATTTGTAGTTACTTGTTGTATCTGTATTTAAAGTGTCTCACGCAATAAAAAACAATGAGTTTAAAGAGTTTTTATGTAATTGCATCAAGTTATGTATACTTTTAATACTACACTGGCTTTGATACTCTTTTTGGTGCTTATCTCTTTTTTTATCAATAGTGGAATTTCAATTTTCACATTTTCGTTTCCATGATTTCGCATTATTCTTCCCTAATTTGTCTACAGAACGTTTTTTTGAAAAAAAATAAACAGGATAAATTTTTTCTATTCATAAATGATTTATGCTTAATAGAATGGTCTAATTTACAGTAATTGTATATATAAACATCATTTCACTCAGAATGATGTTTCATTAAATATAGGCAGAATAAATGTACTGGAATGTTCATCATACGTTAGAGTAATTTGCTAGATGTATTTACATTCTAGTGTTTATGCTTCCACTAAGAATCAAATGCATTGGTTACCTTGATGTAAATGCTGTAGAGGTGTCCAGTGAGATCGTCCCATTCGTTAATAAAAAATGTAATTTTACAGTAGACAGTTGAATTTTGGGTTGAAAAATTAGCGGGTATTTCATCATTTACCTAAAACACACGTATTCTGATCATAACTGACAGATATAATTAATTATACATTTTTAATTTCATTTTAGCGACAAGAGGAGATTACGACGATCACAATAATTCTTAATGCTTTTGAACACTGGTGTGAGCCATTTAAATAAAGTTTCCTCAATAATTTCCTTACGTCAATAATAGTTAACCAATAGAAATGACAGTGACAAACGTAAAACAATCTTTTAAAGCTTATCGAACTCTTATGGGAGTTTTTCCTAAAGTTTTAAATACTGTTATTTTCAGTCCTGAGACAACTATGTCCTAATAATTCTCAGAAATGTATGTTATAGGAATTTAAAGTGAAGGTAAGTTATCCTGAACACGTCTTCAGACTTTAAAATTGGTGCTATTGATAACTATTATTCATTTACTCTTCAAATGTCTCATGCATATGAGCCTTACATGTATGAATAAAGAGAACAGTGGTTTATTTGTCAATAAATTCTATCGACTAAGATGGCCTATTGAGTGATGGATAAGCTAATGTTGAATGGGTTAGGAAGTATCTGTGCAGAGTTGTATATTCTTTAGTGATGAGTGTGGATAGAAAAATTAAAGGATGAGTCAGATTGAGTGCAATAAATGCAAAGTACAATGATAAGGTTGTTGTTGAATAAATATTTGTGAGCTACTTTTGACCAGTAGATAGCTAATGAAGGTGCATATCCGTTCTACAAAGAAAATAATTAGTCCTCATAACTTAAGTAGTTTTAATGCTTTTGAACATTGGTGTGAGCCATTTAAATCAAGTTTTACATTAGAGATTACAAGTACAAATTCCAATTTTGAGTTCTATGTGACGAACGAGTAAACATGATACACCGTATGATCACTATCATGCTTGTCTAGCACTCAATGTTAGTATAATCCTATCATTTATGTTTCAATACAGTCAGTAGTCGAGGTGGATCAAAATCAAGTGCAATTTTATAATAGGTGGTGAGAGGTAATCGACTGGGAGCCCTAGATCTAGGTTTGATTGAGTTATCTAAACCTTGAACTGAGTAGATTGTGTTCGGTGAGTACTAAGGTTCAGACATTTATAACATTGATTAGTACTCAGTGATTAATTATTGTAAAAGTCTAAGTCCAAAAGCAGAGCAGTCACTATCCACGTCTGTCAGTCCTAACATCTCTTATACATATACTAGATGATTTAAGTTCCACTATTAAAAGGAATGTTAGTTTACTCAAGATTGCAGGTATGCTTTACTGATGAATATAAACTAGGACTAAACATAGGTCCAGGGCTTTCCAGCTAATATTTAAACCATATAACATGGAGTAAACAAATTGCATAAAGTTACAACAGACAAGAAAAATTTATGTTGACAAGTGATATATATATATAATTATTTATTTTTTTTTTAAATTGCTTTTTAGTGAATATTGGAGTGGGAATTTTCCTACTACTGGTTTACTTTTCACTTAAGATATGTAGTAAATAAAAGTTGAAACAATCGGTAATTGATAACTCTAGATTAATACAACCAGATGTTTTATGTTTATTACAGATCAGATTATCTGATGTTGGTAATCTGTTTATGAGTAGATAAATAAATTAAAAATTTTAATTTTCGCATAATTGTTAATATATTTATTCTACATAAATATTAGTCTAAAAGTTGAAATTTTCTAAAGTGATACAAAACAATTAACTTCAAAGAAAAATGTGAATGTTATTATACACATTCGATTATTCTATATGTACTTCAAAACCGACAATGGTTTTTGGTAAATATTTATTCTATTGATAAGTAAATGTTTCATTTCAGTCATACGAAAAAAAAAACTTTTTGAACTATAGTTAGTAACTGGCATAGAAAATTTTTCATCTTGTGTGATTTTAGACTGATAGATGTTATTTTCAGTTTTTGATGTATTCACATTAAATTAGGGGTTTTTCATTTTTATCATACAGCTGAATGCCGTGCAGAAAAACATAATAGTTGTTTAATTTGTTTAAATACTAAAGAATTTTGTTATCAAATTATAAATGTTTATCTATGCCCAAATACTTATATCTGTCATCAATTAATGAAGTTATTTCACCAGGTTTGCATGGCTCCATTTTGAAGATAAACCATTTTTCAATTATACAGTTGTCTTCATAAAAAAGCGTCTCAGACAAATTCACAATGGATTAGATTATCTACATAGAGTAGTTAACTTATTAGTGTCTTCGGAAACAAGATAGGCTAATTCATAGAAGTATTATTGATGAGCAAAATATAAATGAAGGTTTCGATTACAGATAAATATATATTCCTTAGGAAACTTTGTTCAGTGTTTATATAATGATTACAATACAAGTGACATTATTAAACTTGAAGTAAAAATCACAGAATCGTTTAGTTTCTTGCAATAATCATAAATATAAATCTTAAAGTTATTTCAGTTCTGCATATGATGTTATAGTTAGAAACGTAAGCAATAAATAATGTAACTCATTTTCCTGGTACAGGTTTATGTACTTGAATCCAAGCCACATTGTTTGTATGAGATTTCGGGATACTGTCCGGTTGCCCAAACGAAGCAGCGATTCGAGTTTACAACCTAACAGGTGAATCACGATTGTCTTAACCACCAAGTCAAGAAGTATTTATCAGAGTAATTAATGCATAATTTGACATTACAAATCTATTTTTTAGTTGAACAGCTAATATCAATAAAGAAAAAATTGCGTTTTTATTCAAATCCAAGTACAAATTAATCTCTTTTTCATTAAATCTCACTTTGAGTGATAAGTAAACTTGTTGTTTCTGAATAATTTTTACAATGTAAAAGAATAATCAAAGTGGTATTAGATTCATTGACTTTAAGTAATATTAGTCTATTATTGTTGACTCATTATTTTTGACTAAAATATTCTTACTCGTGCATTACGCAACTTAAGTTTTTCAATGCATCAAAAGGACCGGATCTCACCACTGATGTTGAACACTTGCTGAACGGAATAATCCGTTGTTTTAATCGTGAAAATTAAACTAATATTGAGTTTATGATACTAAATGGTTTAAAATAACAACGGAATCGACTATACTACGAACACACTGAATCCAACTGATTGGCTTATCTCAGTATTATATTTCCAATGTGCTAATTTGAAAAATTAAAATGTTTTTTTTTGGTGACTTGATAACACTTCTAATAGCACCGTCACAAATTAATAAAATCAGTTGACTATATTTCTGGAATACCTAATTAGAAATGTATTTTAAATGTTTTTATTGATATGATACATATGAGTAACTATACATGATACCATCAAACGGCAATTATTCGTTGGAAATCAGTTACGTTTGTAGTTTTTTATCAGTTGATTAGTCAATCACTTAGCGAGACTACAATTTGTTGCTGAGCCCAATCAGAAGCGTTTGAGGGATTTCAAGGTCACGGCGCCAATTTTAGTACCTGATGCTCATATACGATCAGTTTACAGCGGAGTTTAGAGATGTGATAATTGAGCGGCTACAACAAATTGGGTTACTGAGAAGTTTCTTTTATTTGTGACTGTGGTAATCAAATCACTGCTGTACCGTGTGCAGACTACCGTGATGAGGTTGTCTTTCGACGTAATATATGTTGGAAGAAGTCTGCTATAACAGAAAATTTTTTCGCTCGATCCCGATTGAGACTAAGGCAAATCATGATAACTGTTGCGAACTGGATAATAAAAGCACCAGTCACACTGGCTGGAACCTTTGTAGATGTTACCGAAGCTCCGGGAGCTCATTGGTGTGAGCACTGTCGAGATATATTTGCAATAAAATGACAAGCTTACATGAGTCGTTTGGTGGAGTTGGGAGAGTCGTCGAAATAGACGAAACAGTAGTCAGGAAACGAAAATTTAACAGAGGACGTAGTATTAAAGAAGACTGAGTAAATAGCAGTTCCATAAATATACCTCGCAGGTCCTTGGAATATACGACAGGTCATCCCAAAAGGGCACTTCCAACGGGTCAGAAACCGACAGGCAACGACAATATCAGTTATACGGGAATATGTGCAACTAGACACTACAATATATACAGATGATCGGAGAGTGTACAGATGCCTCCATGGACTTGGTTATGTGCATCATGTTGTTATCCACCCTACAACAGGAGTGTACACTAACAATTTTGAAGCTAAGTGGTCTAGGCTAAAGGAGTTTTTACGAACTTATCATGGCTCGAGACGCCGACTATTATGCATGAGCTTGTCTACCGTATGTATCACGATTTTAGAACCTCCGAACCTCTTCCTAACCTTGACAAGTTTTTGAACCATGTAGAAGATGTGC